TGTCCCACTCATCTGACAGAAAAGCAAAAGTGGACCTGCGCTGCAAGGACAAATGTCACCGTGTTAAACCACACTGCTCCCAAATCCCTGCTTGCGGTCCTCCCACTTCATCATGTTCCAACTTGCTCAGGACATGTAGTTGACCATGGATCGTTTCTCCATGGAAAGAGTTCTATAACTTCAGAAGAACACAGTGTTTATACATGAGAAATTATATAGGAGAAATAAACAACTGAAATTAACAACCACCCAACCACCCCCATCCAGAACTCTTAGTAGAGCTTTCCTAACTTGCACTCTGCACATAGAAACATATTTTATGCAGCTGGAGGATTTCAGATATGCAAAGAAGGTGGCTTCTCCATTAAGAACTCTGTGACTTTGGCCAAGTTGTAAGGGGCTCAGTTCCTGAAGTAAAAAGAGGAATTGGCCAGGTTTGGCTATAAAATCCCTTGCAGCTGACAAATCATGTAGCTCTAAAGGCCCCGCAAGTCTAAAAGTACTGCCCAATCATTAGGGAAAGAGAAAATATTGTTATTAATCCAACCACATACACTTCTATTAAGGCGAAAGTAGAATTACACTACGATGATATATCCAAAGGATTTTTTCTTTTTTTCTTATTAATAGACAATCTTTATCGCTATTTGTTAAGTCTGTTGCTTGACCTTATCTCACTGCACAAACACTGCTGTCCTTTGAGTCCCCCTTTACTCATTCAGAGGAGTCCTGGTGGCACTATCGGCTTGGTGCTGGGCCACCAAACGCAAGACCGGTGGTGCAAACCCGCCAACTGCTCCTCAGGAGGAAGTCGAGGCCACCTTGGAAACCCAAGGAGCAGTTCTACTCTGGCCTATAGAGTCGCCTTGAGTCAGAATCAACACAGTGTCGGTGGGGTTGGTTTGTTTTCTCATATCCTGGTGTACTACATGCTGTATCTTTTACTTGATTTTTTTTAGAAATAATTCTTAGAATCAACTGTTTAATATTTTTAAAGTGAAAAATGAATGAAAAAAGAATGTTACAACCCCAATTCTACCCTACAAATCTGGCTACACCAGAGAATGTACACTGGTACAGATAGGAACTGGAAACACAGGGAATCCAGGGCGGATGATTCCCTTCAGGAACAGTGGTGTGAGTGGTGATACTGGGAGGGTGGAGGGAGAGTGAGTTGGAAAGGGGGCACCGATTATAAGGATCTACATGTGACCTCCTCCCTGGGGGACGGGCAACAGAACGTTTCCCTGGGTGAAGGGAAACGTCGGACAGTGCAATATATGACAAAATAATAATTTATAAACGATCAAGGGTTCATGAAGGAGGGGGGAGTGGGGAGGGAGGGGAAAAATGAGGAGCTGATGCCAGGGGTTTAAGTGGAGAGCAAATGTTTTAAAAATGATGAGGGCAATGAATGTACAAATATGTTTTACACAATTGATGTATGTATGTATTATGATAAGAGTTGTATAAGCCCCTAATAAAATGATTTTAAAAAAAGAAGAAAAAGAAAAAAGAATGTTAAACAAAACCACTCTTCATTCAGTTTGGTTTCCTAAGAAAAAAAGATTCTGAAACTGAATACTATCATAACAAGAAAGAACACAGTATGAAGGGCAAATATCACACAGAAAGCTATACATCATAGTTATGAGAAAAGGAAGATCGCAATGATTAATATAACACAAATATGTTGTCGTCATAATAATTGTATTCACTCTGCAGTTTAGGAAAATGCAGCAATGTGCAACTGCTCTTTTCTCTTCTCACTCAATATTACAGTGCAAGTGGCTTCAACAGCCATCGTGGTAAGCAGTTTTAAAAGAGTGTTCTTAACTTGTAGTCTCTATCCTTGAAAGTGTTCATTTCATTTAACAGGCTGGAAAAAAAATCCATTCTCCTCTTCAGCATCTCACATCACAGAATGCCCAAAGAATAAAGGCTGATTATGAATAATACACCTTTCACACAGAAGGAGGTTTCAAAAACCTTGTGGGAAAATTCCATTATCGTTTTACTCCATGCTTCCCATGAACTTGTCGAATTCCTCCTGTAGTAAAAGAGTTGACAACAGAATATCTGATACATTTCCCTAGAATTTCAAGGGGGTGGGAAAGCCTAACTTTTACATGAAAAATTACCTTTTCCTAACTTGGGCTCTACAGTACTCTGTCTACCACAGGTTTACTAACACAGTCAAGTTGTGCGAGAATGCTCCCCAGAGGGTTACGAAAAGGGAGGAGAATAAATTCTACTGTTCCGTACAGACACCCTTGGAGTATTCATTCTTCTGTAAATAACAGTAACAAACAACAGTGAAAAACAACAAAGCACAACTGGTGACAACCATATTTAAGGGTAAGAAGAAAGCAGCATGTGCTGAAACCCATCCCGGAGACACAGGATGACTGTTGAGTAGGTAACATGCATCAATCGTCATAGAATCGAAGCCCCCAAAGTTGTAAACAAAATATAGAGCCCTCTTTTTGTTCGTGACATGTCATGAACAAATTACCAAAATGTGTTTTCTCCTCAGGTGTCAGTTTTTCCCTCTTTTAGTGACTGATGGCTCCCAGTGTTATTACAGAAACAGATTGATCTTTTTAATGAGCCAGTTTAATAGACTCCAAAATCTCACCGTGGCTGCTCATCCACGTCAGACCATATGTACCAACAAAGCATTCAGTAAAACAAACCAAAAAAGGCTCTGCTGTCAGACAGCTCCACACTCTATAAAGCTCCACAGAGCACACATGGAGACACAAAATGCACATGCCAACAAGATGCAGAAAATACATGTAAAGAAAAAAGATTAATGTAAAGGGCCATATTTTCTTGGCTCTGATCAAATTCCCACAAGATACACATGTATTTACACAACATATTCTCATTACCTTTCCTCCCTGTGCTAAGAAAACTCATTTGCCACTTTACCATTGTAATATATACACCAGATTCCACTAAAAACAGTATTCCATCAAGACCAACTGCATGAATCAATTCTACCAGTGTCTCTGAGTAATCACAGGGAAAGTAAGACTGGGGGTCTACCTGACTGCATGCGCACCCTACACCCACCATCAGAATAAGGATCCTGAATGCTTACGGAATTGAGCATGGAATTTGCCTAATGATATGCTAGCATCTTGTTCAAAGTTTACCTAAGGATTGTTCCTGGGAAGTCTAAAGCCACTGCATATTCAAATACAAAATACTGTGAAAGAGCCTAGGGGGAAATGTTAATAAACAAATGAAACCAACTTTTTGTCCTGTCAGCTATGTACCAGTTCAGATTTCTAGAGGAAGGTGTACCCATCTGTAATTTTGCCTGTAGGACATCTTCGTAGGTAGATCGTGATCTCAACCTTTCCCTGTAATCTTCTCGTCCCGAAGCCCAGAGGGTGCTTCTTCTTCCCCAATGTGCTAGCTAGTCTCTAATTCTTTTATCAAGATAGAGTTGAAACCTCCCAATACCCGATCTGGTACTAAGCGATAGAGGATAAATGGGTTAGAACCAGAGAGGAATGTGCCCCCGCTATTCTGAGGCCCCTTCTCACGTTCTAGCGTCCTGTGGACTGGCAACGTCAGGACCTAGATGAAGCACCTCAAGTTTCAAATGTTCTGTTGCCCCTTGAACACGAGAGGGCTTCAAAAAGTTTGTCGACAACTCCCATTTTCATTTGGCTCCATTTTTTTTAAATGAACCTTTGAAATTCCCTCGTAGGACCAATAAAATATGATTTGCAAAAACTAAGAAAGGAACACCATTCATATATGGAGATAGGTCTACAATATATCCCAAATAGACTCACATTTGGTTTGTTTTAATAATCAATAATTATCAAGAGAACTTCTCGTCTCAAGGAGAACAAAGCTCTATATATGGTAGTATAAAATTGCTTAACAGAGGATTACATAACAATGATATATAAACTTGATGGCTGTTAATAATATGCTGATTAGCAAACAGCTAAGACATTTATAGGTAGACAAGTCAGGCTCAGAGGGATGTCTCTGAGCACCTACAAGATTCATAAGGTCCTAGAAATCTGGGACAGAGAAGTGACTCAGTGACAACCCCTCAAAGACTGTTCTATAAAGAGTTAGTAAAATACATGGGTGAATGAAGAACGGAAACAAAATGTGTGATAGGCAAGCCTTTTAATGCCATTTCCTTCTAAGATTATCCGTATGTGGCAAGCACTATGCAGAAATTTGTAGTAAGACTTTACATTAGAAAATACCGATAAATCAAGTGGCAGCATTCCCAAAAATTATTTTAAGAAGGTACATGGTAAGTTCCATGCTTTTAATCAACTCCTTGATAAGGTCTAAGTTTAGAATTCTTAGTTATGAGAGCAGAGTGCCTTCGAAAATAAATATTGGCTGATGAATAAGGTTTTTTTCAGCAAAAACATTATGCACTCAGTCTATTTTTTAACTCTTATCTTTACTCAGGTCACCGAAGTGCCAATGATTTTTCCCTTAGTTGATATAAAACCCAAATTAAATAGCCACTGGACTGTGTTTCCTGAGTAACAGGAAAAGGTCAGCTTTAAAAATCATCATTTGTGAACTGTCTGCTTAATAAAGAGGCAGAAGGAAAAAAACAATGAACTTCAGTTAAGAAAACTGGTAATAGTTCATTAAACAACACTGAAGAATAAACTATGTGGTTAGGTTGAAGTATGTAATAAATAATCATCTTTTAAAAAAAATAATCATCTTAATACCAACTGTGTGCCTAAGAACCATGAGGGACACTTGGGACCCATGACAGCAAGGATGATCATGCACAGAAGCCTAACTAACACAAATCAGAAATCACCATTCTGCACCAGCCCAGGCGAGAACAGGAGCTTCCAGATGTCCATTCTAGTATGCTGTTGATTTTGCAAAAGAGGTAGGCCAGCAATTTAAAGGTCATATGAAATGTGTCCTCCTGCATGTGGTGTGAGGGAAAGAGACCATGGTTAGAGCCGAGTTCTCCACGCTCTCACCTGTCTGGAGTTCGCCTCTTCCCGTTTTCGTTCACATCGAGAAGCAGCTCTGAGGAGTCAACAGGTGAGGTGGTGCTGGCATCCAGAAGCAGCTGTTCATGCTGGGCGAGGTACTGGGCAGGGTTCTGTTTGGCCAGTCTTGCGCAGTGGAGGAGCTCACGCTGAAGCAGGGGCAAGTTGGCCTGAAAGAGCAGGACAGAAATCAAAGAAAGCACTGGAAGTTCCCTTCCAACCAGCATACTACTCTAATTTTCAAACACTGGTTGAGAGAATGCAAAGAGCCTATGCACAGTGCTGCATGGCCCATGGGGTACCTGTTAGGTTCTACCTGGGCCCAGATTGTCTCCAATGCAAGGGGTCTGACCAACTGACTCCATTTTTCCCACTTCAGTGCCCTCATAAATAACATTTGCAGGTTGCACTGGATAATGTTTAAGGTTCTAATTCAAACATAATTGACAAGAAGCTCTACAGGAACACGAGATTCCATTCATAAAAATGTCAGGGGAGATAGGGCATATGTAAAACAAAAGGCGTATCTTTTCATGTCATTTTTCCACAAACGTAAAACAATTCATTCATACAAACAGTCCGATTAATTTCCTGACAGGTTAACTAGGAACATTCCGCTTGGCATCCAGTGACTTCTCCAAAAGAAACTATTCTCTGCGAAGGATAGCAGATCAACATGTTGATAGCAGATCAACGTGTTGTGGATCTTTCCTAGCCAACAGTGCCACGCAGCATGTACCGAACGCCCTGGGTGGTCAGATCTGCGACACTGCTTAGAACTCAAGCCTGAGCACGGTGCCTGTGCTCGCTGTCGATCGGTTAGGACCTCGTCTGTAGTCCAAGGACTACACAAGGAGGCTTCCATTGTTCGTGGAAAAATGGATTTAAAAAATAATGGAATTTCTACCCAAATTTCTTGAAGCTGTGTGTGAGAGAGAGAGATTGATTGATTTAAATTAGGAAAAGTGTTTCGTGTGTCAGGTATTACCCTCGTCCTAGTCTAGCATTTTAGATAAAGACTCTCAGTTCAGGTCGTTGGCCATTTCAACTCACAAAAAAGAGAACAATGAAGGTGGTGGTTTCCAACATAGTAAGGCATTAAAATGAAAAGCATGAATAACATTTTATTCTGAAGAGGAAATGTACTCTGTCATAATGAATCCAAATTGTTGTCTTCCCCTCCCCCTCCCTCCACCCCTCCCTCTTTTGAGTGGAATGAATGAACAGCATTCATGGACAAGAACACTTAACTCTAGAAATTCAAGGGAAGATAGGTCACAAATCGCTTTGCGACTCAAAGAGTTTATTTGTTGGAACCAGGTGTCACGAACACTGATTAAACATCAGGTAGAAGAGCTTTTCTGGAAAGGAGATACGTCCAGCTGCCTCAATCTCTGCCCAAGAGCCTTGCAAAAAACTTTCACCGTGTCAAAAATACTGCCACTGCGTCACTGCTGACTCACAGGGACCCCCTCGGTGGGTTCCTACGACTGTCCTTGTTTGGGGGAGTAGACCAGGGGCAAGCAACTCAAGTCCATGTATTAAAAGTGTGAGCCCAGGACCTGTAACTCTTATGCATGTGTTTGGGGATATTGCTGAAGAAGT